TGTGTTCGTGTTATAATATCCAGATGAAGGTCCCTATGTAGTTGTTTAAACGCATCCCTAAACAAACCTAAACCCCACACGCAACCACCATAATATCTCTTGGAACTGGTGTGTAGTTTCTGGCTGCATACCAATCACCTGTGCCTCAGCATACCTGGACCCCGAGAAACCTACCTTTTCTGGGGGCTCCCTAATGTATTTTCTTATATAAGTCCTGAACAAGGCAGGTCCTTTGGGACATATACATGTGTAGCTGGTGCAAGCACGTACACATACCCAGGTCATGCTAGGTGCACAGACACGCAGATAGTCACAGCCATCAAGAGGCAGAGGGGGAGAGGCAGAGGTAGACCTCACCCTCGGGGTTGCCGTGGTGTTGTGTTGTCGTTTCCGTCTTGATGTTGTTGTTGTTGCTGTTGTTGCGATGGACCACTTGATAAACACAGAAAATCTAATATGCCGTACTGACCAAGTCCATAATCCCTTGGCCTTCCCAGTGACGACAATGACAAGCTGATGATGGCAATGCAATGTTGGGCTGCGAGATGACGACACCGACAGACGCTTAGCTAGTTCAGCAGCTGTAGTTAGTAGTTAGCAGTAGTCAGTAGATTGGGTAATCACAAAAGAAGGAAGTTTGAGTCTATCCTACATTGCAATATGCTTCCTTATGTTTGGTAACCGGTAGGTATCTCTGGGTCCCGATTACGTCACTAACACTCAAGCTCTTGCGACCGTGACTGGTGACAGTGACTGTCCCTGGCAAGACAGTTGTGTCCAAATCGGTAGTCTGACATCCCACAGGCGGTCACTCCGTGCCTGTGAGCATGAGTGTTGGAGAGCCGTCCTGACAAAGCAGTTTCCTGGGTGAAGAGCTCCGAGCAGAGGACGAAGAGCCCCCATCGGAACTTTCGATCATGCCGCGCGGCTCTGGCAACGAATCAAAGAGGCTGGCGGCCCGAGAGCCTTCGACTTGATTTGCTTTTCCTTGAATACCAGAGGAAATCGCCGCTATCCAGAGCAAGCTCATGTGAACGATTCCTGATTCACAGCTTTCGAAGCAGTACCGCTACCTCTCCAGGAGTCTGCCTTGAATTGAAACCAACTAAGACATAAACTTACACTTAACCTAAAGTGCGGTTGAAGGGAATGGGTGAACATTGCAAGTCCGAGCCCTAGTCCTTGAAGTACCTCGAACGTCAAAGCCATGAACCCCTGTCATACGTTATTTGTAGGTTCTTAAGGTTGCTGCAGGGTGTTCCATGTCCAGAGACTCCAGTATTGCTTACGTGAGGGCCAACATTGTTGAGGATCATTACAAACAGTTGATATTCGACCGGGGTATCCAGAGAGGAATCCACAAAACAAATGCCTGGACGGAATCCCAAACTGTGGGACCCTGGAAACCCTAAACCTTCAGACCTGTGGGGATCTTTTAAGGACGAAGACGCTTAACAAGCCTTATAGGGGTTTAGGGTTTAGTACTTTGAACCCAAAAACCCTAGACCCGAAACCCAAAACCCGAAACCCTAAACCCAAAACCCTAAACCCTAACAACCCTAAACCCCAAAACCCTAATCCTAAAACTCGTTAACTAACAACCCTATAAACCCTTTTTGCATCAGGACTTGTGGAATCGCCTGAACACTGACTTCCACAATGCAAAGAATTAGTAAAACTGTACAATCACAAAGCGCTGTTCCTGCTTGTTCACTCGAAGTACGTGTCAGATGACAAGTCGTCATCACTCTCGTCATCAACTGCTTGCATGCGTTCAAGCGCCCTGAGATAGGCATCGGATCGCCTGGGAGAGGACAAGCCCCTGTTGTGAGACACTGGTTTCAGTGCCACCTGCGTGCTGCGTGGTTCAGCAGACACCATGCCACCAGGCGCGCTATCAGCTTCTCCCAGCTCTGTGGCATCATCAGTAACAGAAAAGACCGTGTTGCCCGCCTGTTGTCTCTCAAGTGCTTCAATGCGATCCACCAGCGAACGAGTCTGGGCTTGAACTTGCGTTTCAACGGCGACGATCAACTGGGAGGCCATCGTCTCAAAGAAATCCTGGCCTGCTTGATTTGCGAATACCATTTCTTCTGTCTCAGGTTGGACGACGTCTTCGGACTGATCCCCCGCATGCACAGGGACTGTACTAGGATCCTTGACTTCGAAGTCTGCATCCTCACCAGCAGCGAGACCTAAAGCAGTGAAAAGTGAGATGGGCTTCGGGCGACTGTGTCCTGAATTGAGCTCATACAACGCGTCCCACAGCAATGAAGCCACGGTACCCGCATGGCACTTCTTTGCCAATCGAATAGCATGGGCAATGTTTGCACTCAGCTTCTGCTCCATTGCATTGGCGAGAAACCGATCGAATTGGGAAAAGGTTGCCCGTTAGGGCCTCGTAGCCAAACTTGAGCCAAACCCTAAACCCTAAACCCTAAGCCGGCCCAACCCTAAACCCTAAACCCTAAACCCATGGCCGGAGCCTGACACTTTGCCGTCCAGCACTCCGCGCGCTGCCAGGCGGCAGCCTCCTCCTCAACTTGGGATTTGGGTCGTGTTCTAAATTAGGGTCCCTTTTAGGGTTTAGGGTTTAGGGTTTATCTAAATTAGGGTCCCTTTTAGGGGCCTTTAAAGGGATCTATAAGGGTTTCTTTCTAGTTTCTATAAGGCTACTATAAGGGTTCAGTTTGGGTAGTGTTCTAAATTCGGGTC